GTCATTAAACGTACTGAAGTTTCCTGCTGAGGTCAAATACGACTTAACTGTATTAAAATATTGGTCACTGCAAAAACCTCAGGCTGCATTCCATAGCTTGTTTTATCCAAATTTCATGACATCATATAAGGATTCAAAATGAGAATTTAGACTCTCCACAGATCTTCTTAACTGACTGAAATCCTTTCTCTGTGTGATCTTTAATAAATGTTTGAAAGGAGGGAGCCCATCAGCCGACTGGTTTATTTTAAAGAATTAAATCTCACATTAAAGCGGAACAACACCTAAATGAGGAATTTTAATGTGTCACTATGTCACTTCCATGATCGAGGAAAATTACAAATATTTGCAATCATGAAAGACATTCTCAAAGCCAGAAACCAGAGAGAGAGAGAGAGGGGAGTCTTTCCCTACCCTCTCCCACAGTGTCTCAGAGTGTCACTCTGTCTATAACCACACACACACACACACACACACACACTGGGCCTCGTGCAGGAAGTGAAATATGAAATATTTTGTTTAATATCGATAATACCCACAGATTTCTGGGAATCCCTCTTATTTATGCTCTTGCAGGGTGTCTATAGGTCCTTGAAAAGTCTTAATATCAGGCCTTAAATTGTCTTAAATTCAGATTTGACAGGCCTAAATATTTTCGAAAATCCTGACAGACCCAGTACTCTGGAAAATCACATTCACATTGTATACGTTTATTTCACAGAACGTCGAGGTTACTACTGTTAAAGTTCTCCTCTCAGCTTTTTTATTTGTACTTGGAAGTCGGAAATGGGAATGACGTCACCTCCGAGGTGACAACAGTTTTTGCATTCTAGTTTACAACGGTGGACAAGTCGGAAAAAAACATGGACGCCCGCAAGAAAGCCTTTGTTGCCCTTACACTTTCGGAGTATAGACAGCTTCAAAACCATCATGCAGTCCAACTGATGAGCGCCGCAGATGAGGCGTAAAACAAATAAGATAAAATTGCTGTAAACAGTACTTTAGCAGAGTGTTTACTCACTGTATGTGACTGGCAGCCATCTTGAATTCGTAAGTCGGGTTTGATGCGGTTGCTCCAAGTTTCCGAGTTGGAAATCCGATCTCAGGGTGCGCTCGAGGACAGGTGTTGTGCTGCGTTCGTTTTGTACTCGGAGGTCGGAAATTCCCAGTTCCCAGTCAGAAGTTTCAACTCGAACGCACCCTGAGATTGTATTTCCAACTCGGAAACTCGGAGCAGCCGCATCAATCCCGACTTACGAATTCAAGATGGCTGCCGGTCACATAATAGTAAGTAAACACTGTGCTAAAGTACTGTTTATAGCAATTTTATCTTATTTGTTTTACATTAGGTCAGCCTCATCTGCGGCGTTCATCAGTTGGACTGCATGATGGTTTTGAAGCTGTCTATACTCCGAAAGTGCAAGGGCAACAAAGGCTTTCTGCGGGCGTCCATGTTTTTTTCCAACTTGTCTACCGTCGTCAACTAGAAACAAAAACTGCTGTCAACTCTGAGGTGACGTCATTCCCACTTCTGACTTCTGACCTCCGAGTACAAAACGAACGCACCATTATATACAGTGTTCAGGGGGCGAAATAATTGTCCTGTACAGTATTTCAGAGGGGCATCCCAGAAAGTGCAGGTGTAGCAGGGTTTGTAAAGGAATGTATATACATGGCACCTAAGGCCACCCTACACGTTAAATTTTACATATGTAGTGAGGGCCCCTGCTTTGTTTGTCTTTCAGTTATGGGGTCCCTATAAGCCCTGCGTGCTTACACTATGTGCAAACAAGTACATGCAGGCATATCACAGCATTCAGGGATGGGCAGTATTTCTATTACTTGTATTTAAAATACGTATTTCAACTACATTTGAGTATTTTGTAATTTGTATTCGATAAGGCCGATAAAAAGCAAATGTAATTTGTAACAAAATACTGTTGAGTGGAGTCATTATGTATTTAAAGTACTCACAATACTTTCTCCACGAATCAAAAAACAAAAATAATAGGCTACACATTCTTATAATATTGTATGTAACAATATCTTTTACTAATTTGTTTTTAAATATTTTTATCTATATGTTTTCTTGCAATGACCTAGTGGTCTGTTTTACTGGACTGTGCATAACATAGGAAATTGTATGTTGTTGTGGTTGATGCTTGGGATGAGTATGCTACAAATGAATTGCCTCACATGGGATCAATAAAGTTGTGTGAATCTAAATCTGAATCAATAAATAATATTTTAGGGTAGCCTACACCAAATTGTGAGAAAACAAGCGCAGATTTGCAAAAGCTGTGACCAGATTTGCTACTATCACGCCATTAATGGATGAATCATGGTTGTTCTTTCTGGCATAGTTACTTGTGGTCTCTAATTGCAGCATGTAAATTTTGAGCATTTTGGTCAAGGACTTTTTGAGTTATTCACAGAAAGATTTGTGGACCGACCTACTGACAGAGTGACCTATAGAGCTGCGGGTCGATGCCAACAAGAAAAAGAAAAAAGTATTTTCTGTATTTGAAAATACAAAATACATGTATTTTATTTTGATACATTTATTTGAGTATTTTGTATTTCTTATCAAAATACATTTTGATGTATTTTTGCCCATCTTTGACAGCATTCACTGTATTCTTTTCTCTAAAGATCATTTTACTTGACGCCTGCTGCACTCTGCACCTCTTACACATTCTCCTGTTGAAATACTGTAAAAGGAAAAATGGCATTTTCTTAATTTCATTACATCCATTATTTATATATTTACGTGTCTTTGTCCTCTTTTATCCATGTTTGCAGATAGCAACACACAGGTGGCATCTTTTGTAGGTGGATAAGGACTGATGGCTGTTGTGCAAAGACGTTTAACACAGGTGCATCAGAGATTCATAATTATCAATTAATTTGTGTCGGCTATGAATAGATGTTTTCCTTTTAACACAGTCGATCCAACAGCGCCTGTGTTAACTGTTTTGAAAAAACGTGAAACCTAATGAAAAAGCTGTACGAGGTGATCAAGACTGCGTAGGATCCATACTGAAAATGTACGTATGGACAAAAGGCAAAAATGGCATGTGCCAAAAAATGTTTGACAATTTCTACAGTTAGGCTTTCACCTCACCATCTGTGTCGCCAATTTCCCGTCTCCAAAGTGTTCATAAGCATGGGTCAAAGTTTCTCCCATCAAGTCTTTTTTTTATAGATCACAACTTTTGCGTGGGAAGTGGTGTACAGCTCCTTGAGGTCTCGCTGTGTGCCTACATACACAGAGACCCCAGGTGGATCCCATTTCGTAGAGCTGGAATATAAAAAAGGTGCATATAGTGCATAAAATAAGCATCAAAATAGAGTTTGTGCCACGGGAGGCTCCTCCAGACCCCCTGAAAGAGGCCCAGGGTAATTATTCATATATTAATTATCAAGGTTTATTTATTAACTGGCTCCTGACCTCGTGTCATTTTGAATTGTATCAAAGGAAGACTCATACACAGAACAATAAAAGATTCAGACTGAAGTCTGGACTCTGGAAATCTCTACATGTTGCAGGGCTGCACTGAGGACAGTCCAACACAGACTGAAACATTTGCACATTTCTTCACTGCCTGTGCCCTGCAACATGTAAAACAGAGTCTTCCTTCACTACAATGTGACATTATCGTTGACTTCTGCATCAGAATAGAAGACTAACAGGACAGTTTATTATTAAGGTGCGGCTCATCTCATGCTGACCATCCCCTCCTGTCATTCTGTCCCCAGAAGCAAGCTGAGTCTCCCTGGTCTAATGTCACTGTTTAATAAAGAATACAATGCCTGAAAGGTCTGTAGTGCGGGAAGGACATCAGAGGTGCCTTCCAAATCTCATACTGTTTGTTTTCACTTTTAGTACGGAGTCCTTCTGTGCGGATTTTGCATGTTCTCCTCGTGTCAGCATGGGTTTCCTCCAGGTGCTCCCGACATGTTCTCCTCATGTCAGCGTGGGTTTCCTCCAGGTGCTCCCGACATGTTCTCCTCATGTCAGCGTGGGTTTCCTCCAGGTGCTCCGACATGTTCTCCCCATGTCAGCGTGGGTTTCCTCCAGGTGCTCCGACATGTTCTCCCCATGTCAGCGTGGGTTTCCTCCAGGTGCTCCAGCTTCCTCCCGCAGGACATGCAGGTTAATTGGTGACTCTAAATCGTCCATAGGTGTGAATGTGAGTGTGAATGGTTGTCTGTCTCTATGTGTCAGCCCTGTGATAGTCTGGTGACCTGTCCAGGGTGAACCCTGCCTCTCACCCAGTGTCAGAACCAACCTGACTGCAAAATCGTACCAGATGTAGTAGAACATCCTGGTATTTTTGGCATACTGCAATTGACATACAACATACGATATATTTGGGCATACTAAATCTATTTCTGGCATACTGTTTAGTGTGGTAGTGAGGGTATTGGGATGCACAGCAGCTGTTGGTGGTGGGGACAAGATGTGCGGCAGGTCTAAAAGCAGTTTCAGTCCCATATTTAACTGAAAAACAATAATTATAATTTAAAAAAAAGTCCACTTGGCTGCTCTCAGACATCACTATAGATAACACAATTCGTTTTTTATGTGCGAACACCGTGAAATATTCTTAGTAAAAACATTTTTCTACATGTGTTCACTCCTGCCAATGTCTCATTCCTTCAGTGTGAGCTGAACATGCTGATGTCAGAGTTATGAGAAATCAGTAAGATTTATAACAGGCCTCTGCAAGGAAACCAAACACCTGTGACCCACCACACTGTTCCTTCATTTGAACAGTTAACGTGAACGCCTTCACATAGTTTTATGATCCACAGCCTGCCAATAGGATTCAGGTGGAGTGAAGCTCAGAGTTGATCAACAGCTCAGAGCGTGTTGAGGCAAGACGCAGTGCCTCACTCTGCCTTTGCTTCATCCTCCCTCTGTGAGGAAACCTCAGAGCACCTCTAATTACCACAAGCGTCTGACATTTTAAACTGTTGTCCCGTCTCATCTCCACACTGGATCATCAGTAGACGTGTGACTGGAGTTATGTGACAATGCAGGACAAGGCCAACACGGATTCACAAGACAAACCAGAGGGAGAGATCAGTGATCGATGTGTGCAGCAGCCTCAAGGTACTGTGAAGAGAAACTCTGTTTGATACTGTTTTTAATAACATGTTAAGTCACTTTACTGTACTGTAAAAAGAGTTTTAAACAATAGTTTTAAACAATTCAACGTCTGTCTCTTAACTAAATTTCCTGAGTCATTCTCCAGGTGGCTGTTCTTGGCACTGATGCATCTGATTGCCCAATCATGCACTTTTTCTTTTTCACTTGTTGATGATTTACTGCTAAAATATTCTCATGTGTGTCATGTAAAATAAATGATACAAAGGACAGTAAAATAATTCTGAAGTCTTAGGGTTAACACTTATGTGCCATTTCCTACATTCTGTCCAACATATCCAACACCAAATCTATTTTAAATCAACTGAAAATACTACATTCAGTTGTCAAACTATATTTTCAGTGTCCTTGTTTCTCCCCAGATGAGAGGACAGCAGTGCGGGCAAGAGCCTTCACCAGGTGGATGAATGTGTTCCTGCAGAGAGTAAGACACAAATCAATACAGATTTACTGTCACATTATGCTTTAGCTCATATAAATACAGTCACCGCTAAGGTTTATAATTTATTTCCAGCGTGATCCTCCGGTCGAAGTGCACAACCTGTTCACAGACATCCAGGATGGCAGGATACTGATGGCTCTGCTGGAGGAGCTGTCCGGATGCAAGCTGGTAAGAGTCGAGTTACACAGTGGAAATATAGTACAGTGCTGTTAAGTTATCCATTGTGTCCCTGGTTCGTTTCATTTTGGTTCATTTGCTCTGAATTGTTTGTGAGCCTATAGGAAAACTCATAATACTCTGTTTCCACCCAAAATATAATGTTGGAGATTAATAATTTTCTCATGTCTGTACAGCAAATATGAAGCTACAGTCAGCATCAATTAGCTTAGCTTAGCACAAAGACTGGAAAGAAGATTGAAAAAGTAGTCTGGCTCTGTTTGTAGGTAACAAAATCCACCTACCAGCACCATTAAAGGGATAGTGCACCCAAAAATGAATATTCAGCCATTATCTACTCACCCATATGCCGAGGGAGGCTCAGGTGAAGTTTTAGAGTCCTCACAACACTTGTGGAGATCCAAGGGGAGAGTGGGTAGCAGCACAACTCCATGTAATGCAGGCTGACGGTGCCCCAGATTAAAACGTCCAAAAACACATAATTGAAACCACAAAATATCTCCATACTGCTCGTCCGTAGTGATCCAAGTGTCCTGAAGCCCCGACATAAAAAGTTGTTTGGAAAAACGTCATTTGAACTCTGTTTTTAGCCTCATTGTAGCCTGTAGTTCTAACTGCCTCTGTGTACTTACTTTTTATGTCGGGGCTTCAGGACACTTGGACTTTTGCATCAGCTGAGGCTTGAACTCTCAACCTGAGACTAAGAATCAATTTCTATCTCACTGAGCTAATTAGTCAGTGACAATTCATGTGTAGCTTCACAAATTGACTAAGCCAGACGTGCAGGTTTAGTGGCCGTCCATGCATGGAAAAGCAGATTTCAAACCACTGTAAAAAATTCAGTTATTAAGACAAAAATCTGAAAACACACATATTGCATCTAGACAGCATGGAGATGTTGGTAATTTGTTTGTAACAATGATTGATTTGCTCCATAAGTGAAAAACTGATGTTTTAAATTGCCATTTTTACATTGACTCCAATTGTTCACATTAGAGCAAAATTTAAAATGCTGTCAAAAATTCAGTTTTTGAGATAAATTTCTGAAATTTGCCACACATCATCTACCATGACTCTAGAATTGTGTCATTTTTTTCATGAACATTGAAGATTTATTTAGCAAGAATTTGCATGTATATGTTTACAGTACCGTTTACAGTCAAACATTTTGATGCACTGTAGGCTCAATTTTTGATAAATCAAAAATCTGAGAAACATAGTTTTTGTAGGACAGTCTGAAGATGCTCTGTAGCAAGTTTGGTGTCAGTTGAGCAAACATTGTGGGAGGAGATGATTAAGAAGTTTTACAGTTTTTGAAAAAAACAGAGTGATGGACTTCATAATTTTAAATAGGTTTAAATGTACAAAAGTTTCTTCAGTATTGGGGCTACAGTTTGATGAAAGTTGTGAAGTTGTAGCACGTATGGTTGATTTGTTATGAATTTTCAAAGTTCTGAAATTTAGACGCTTACTGTAGCGCCACCATCAGGACTATTGGCTTGAGTTTACAGCTGAGGATATCTGGCATGAGACTGGACCTTTGTGCAAAGTTTGGTGAGTTTTCACCCATGGGAAGTATGATTTCCTCGGAAGAAGAAAGAAGAAGAATACCTAGGATTACAATAGTGTCCTGGCAGCTTAGCTGCCCGGACCCTAATAACTTAAAACTTTATTAAAAATAGCTATTTTTTGTGTTTCCTTTCGACAGTGCCAAGCTGTTCACTGTCTTTACGTTGGACAATGCTAACCAGCTGCTGGCTGAACTGCGTATATGACAGTACATCTAACTATCAGCAATTAAGCCAATAAGTGTGTTTCTCCAACTATGCAAAACGACCAGTTTCACTGTCGGGATTTGATCCATTTGGTCAGATAACATTTTCAGTCTAGAAGAGTGGCAGGATAAAATTGTTTCATCCCCATTCAAGTTAGCAGAGGTCTAAACCAGAAGTATCGGCTTGGTTGGTGGAGGTTAGCCTCTCATATGGTGGAAGTGTCCACTGCAGCTGCTCTGTGAGCCCAAAGATGTGGATGATCTGGAGATTTTACTCCTGAGAAAAGTCGAACTTTTTGGCTTCTTAACTTTCATAGGAATCAACGGGGCCCTGTCTCCAGCGTTGTATCCAGTTCTCTTTATACATCCAAAGGTTAGGCTGTTTAAAAAGATGGAGCTCAATAAACGTGAAGCCAAGAACATCTGGAATGCCCCCTGGTGGCTGGCTGCAAAATAGTTCATAAACCCTGCCCCCTCCATGTTTGTGGATGGGACATGGGCCAAACTGAATGATCAAAGTAGATGTCAAATACATTTTCCCCAAAGATGATCTTGGTCATTTTATGTAAGTCATGTGTTCATTTGTCCTGATAAGTTTGGTTCTAATTAGTTATTTGATGCTATAAAAAAGAGAATTAAGGTCAAGGCTCACAGCTGAGGGTGTCAGTCTGTTTGCTTGGACCTGTGAATGGGCAGGAAGTTGATTGCAGCTCCACTTCCCGATCTCTTCTGTGCAGACTCCAAATGACGTCACCCGTGCAGGATGGAAGCGTATCCAGGATAGTTTGGCTTCATTTTCGTGCAGCAGGAGGAAGTGAAGATGTGTCGTCCATCTTTATATACTGTCTATACAGACATATGCAGTATTTTTCAAGCCATTTGAGAATATGGGATGCCTAAAAATCTGCACATGATGTGGGAAAAAGTCTGACAGTGTCTAAGGAAAACAAATCTTCCTTTAGACGAGAGCCTGTATCCAATTTTGTATGCAGTTGTTCTCCAACTGTCTTCATCATTCTGAGAGCAGAACACAAATGAGGATGACTAATTTTCACTCCTGCCACCTAAAAAGAGGCAAAAATTGTCTGATTTTTAAATTCCACAACATAGGTAGAGTAGTAATTTGTCTTAAAAAGCATTGCTAATCTCAAGTCATAATAATCTGGGCTGCTTTAATTGCAAATCAAGGATCTCCAACAAGGACGAGTAAAGGTGGTCTTCACTGCTCTGAATTGAATTTTCAGCCAACAGAAGAACATTTACTTTCAGATGTCTTCGGGGAAATCTCTGCCCCTGCTTACACATTCCTTCTGTAATATCTTTTATTAGCTTTACAGGTTCAGGGCGTCGTCTCACCGCATTTTCAGACTGAACAATATTTCCAAGGCCCTGGCTTTCCTGGATGATCGACATGTGAGTGTGTTAACTTGCAAGTCAACAAAGTGATACTGCCTTGACGTGTATTACAGTTACATTTGAATCCGGACAGACTAGATTTCAGCTGACGTCTCCTCCCTGTTGTGTCCTCAGGTGAAGCTGCTTGGCATCGATGCCTCCGGTATTGCTGATGGGCTTCCCGCTGTTGTTTTGAACCTAATCTGGAACATGATCCTGTTTTTCCAGGCAGGTGTTTTTTTTATCCCCTCATCTATCATGCTGATGTGTTCATGTTTTATTTCACACCTCACCTGGGTGTTTGTCGTTGTCACTGACCTTACATACACTCCTCTGTTTCACTCTAATAATGCAGGTAAAGGAGGTGACGGGAGGCCTCCAGAGGCATTTGTCTTCTAGCCTCTCCTCCTTATCAATGAGCAGTTACCCCTCCTCCGGCGACCTCTCCCCCCAGCCAAATGACATTGGCAGCTACTCCTGCAGCACCCTGCCAAGCAAAGGCAGAAAGGCTGCCAGAAAGCCAAAGTACCACGGGAAAGCAATCAAAACTCTCCTGCAATGGGTCCAAAGATGCACATCAAAGTGAGTCTGAAAAAGATCCAAGCGCTTACAGGGCCATCTTTGTCAACAAAACCTCTCAACCCAAATCAAATACCTTTACATCCCATATGCTGTATAAAATAATGGATGTAGCCACTGTGACGTCACCTTTGTCTTTGTGGACTGTTATTTTAAAGCCTCGAGCTTGGCATTTTGGCAGTCTTTATTCTTGGTTTTTTGGAGCTAGAAGTGACCATATTTGGACAAGAGGGTGGAGGTAACCCCAATGCTAGCTGCTAGCTTGATTAGCATGGTGCATTTACAGCAGAGGTGTGGACTTGAGTCACATGACATGGACTCAAGTCACAAATTTGATGACTTTAGACTTGGCTTGACAAAATCAAAAAAGATTTGCTACTTGACTTGGACTTTAACACCAATGTTTTGTGACTCCACTTGGAGCCAACACTTGACATCCTACCCCAAGTCTAAAGATTTCAGAGTATGTTATTTTAAGTGTGTCAAGGATCAGTTTATTCCCCTTCATTTCCTGAATCAAGTAACATTCCCAGCAAGACTTAACTACCAGATCCACTTTGTTTGGACCAATCAAAGCATCTAATCAAGCTGCAGAAGGGAACCATAAGGAAGTAACATTAAGCTACTGAGCGCCATTTGGAAAAATATTATACCAGAGATAATTTTAGAGACATACAAAAACTACACGATGGTCAACAAAAAACAACCTGCAGCATACAAAACCTATGGGTTGAAAATTACAGTCTTTCATCTTCTGCCGACCTTTTAATTTGCACAAAGAATAGTAAGTCAAAGCTAATATTAGTGTGATTAGCGAGCTAATGCTTAGCTAATGTTAGCTTAACAAATGCATTCGCATCCCAGCTTGTCAAATATCATCGTTTTGCCAGTGGACATTAACATCTAAATATGACACACTAGGTATCATCCTGCATTAGGTGCAAAGTCTTTTTCAAAATACACTTACAGTGTTGGCAAAACACCTAATTTTTACGTTTATTTCCTTGTGCAACAAGAACATGTAGTCAGATCTAGGAAAAAAAACATCTTGGTTTTGGCTTAACACAGAAAGTAAACACGGGGCTCACAGGTGAAAGTCCAGGGTTTGTTGGACCCATCCAACTCCCTTCCCACCCGCTATACAGGGACTTTTCTGGTCGCCACGTATTGCTTAACTTTAAGCCTTAACAACATTTAAACAGGTGAGTTCTTTAAAGATTCACCCCTGTACAGTTGTCATGAATGTTGAAATTAGCTACAGAGACCAAACTGTTTTTTGCACCAGGCTGTAAACATGTTTATTTCTGCTGTAAAGTTAAGCATTTTAACATAGAGGTCTATGAGGATTGACTTGCTCTTGGAGCCAGCCTCAAGTGGACATTAGAGGAACTGCAGTTTTTTTGCCATTTCTGTATTGGCTTCATTTTTTTGCCCCAGAGGCGCTGCTTGATACAACCACAGTGCGTGAAGCAAAATGTATAATCTGACTGTGCTGAAGTTATGTTTCTCTTTTATGCAATTATAAATCTGCAGGTTTGGGGTGGACGTGCATGACTTTGGGAAGAGCTGGAGGAGTGGGCTGGCATTCCTAGCTTTGATTAAGTCTTTAAACCCGGCCTTGGTTGACCTGAGGGAGAGTCTGTCCAGAGAGCCAAGAGAAAACATTCAGCTGGCCTTCACGATAGCCAGTCACAGTTTGGATATTCCACCTCTGCTGGAGCCTGAAGGTAAAGACTTGCTGAGTAGAAAGGACTTCACACTGACCCATTTTCATCCACAAAGACAAATACCCTTCTGCACCTTTGCCCACTTAGTGTAGGTGCTAGATGCCCGTAAGGTATAATGATACCACCTTAAAAGGTCGTAGGAGTTAATCAAAAACACCTTGCAAACCAATTCAGAAGTTGATCTTTGCCAGAAATGAGCAACATTGCTGTGTGCCAGTGTGATTGTATTTTCAGTACCACACAGAGGCTCAAACTGGCCCTCCAACAGCAGGATGGCCTCTTTATTAACAGTCCACCTTGCTCACGTGTGAAAACTGTCTATTCTTCTTTCCGCAGATGTGTTGGGCACTTCACCAGATGAGCGGTCCATCATCACCTATGTGTCCATGTTCCTGACGGATTACTCAGGCACAGACAAGGTTAGTACGGCTCTGAAAAGTTTGGCATTGTTGCTTTTCATCCTTATTGCTGAGTGTTAGATGATAAAATTAATACAATACTCATATCAGTCAGTTAAATATGAAGCTATCACCAGCCAGACGGAACAGATAGGGAGCTACAGTGAAATGAAATATTGGACCTGTCCTTTAATATCTAGGTGATGTATCAATCTTCCATCTAACTCTCACTAATAAACTTTACATTACAGTGTCATACAGCAGATCTTGGAGTTCTTGAGATCCCAAATTTTGGATCGCTTGAGTCCGTCAGCTTTGGAGAGACCCTCGCTGATGACCCAGAGGCCCAAGCTTTGCTCCAAGGCATGGAGAAGTCCAGTGAGCAGGGACTGTGGAAACGATGGGCCAGAAGATCCTCAGGGAGCCCCCGCACCACCCTGCTTTCTGCAAGTGAGGCCATGTCACCGTTCAATAAAAAGATAAGCAGGAGTCGAGGCATTTTACAGCCACCCAGTCCGCTGGATGCAGGCATTGGCAGCCCAGAGATCCGATCATGGATGGAGAAAGCGTCTGTGGAGCAGAGCTACAGCAAGCCGAGAGTGGATGAAAGTCACTTTTCTTTGAGCTCAGAGGAAGGAATCTACAACTTGTCAGCACTGGACTCAGACGAGGAAGAAGCCTACAGCTACATCCTGGATCTGAATAAAGAGGTTTTCCCACCGTATAATCAGCTGAAGAGACAAGTGCCAAGAGTTGAGGAGGAAACAGAGGAAGAAATGCTCCTGAACGGACAGCAGACTGAAGAGTCGGCTCATCTGGAGATATTTGAGACGTTAAACGGCAGCGAATCTAAACATCAAGAAGGCTCACTGGAACAAAATGTTGATTCAGAAGTCAGGGCTCAGTCAGTCGTTCACAGGGCGTTTGATAGGGACACAGATGAAAGTAGTTCCAGAGAGACGGCAAACGGCATAGTTGTGTTTGACGTGCAGCCAGAGGAAGACAGCACAGAGGAATGTAAAAATGAGACAGTTGTTCGAGGACAGAGTAATGATGATGGCAGTCATTGTGAGGAAGAGAAGGAGGAGGAGAAGACAGAAAATACTAGATTGGTGAAATGTGGTGAAAGAGAGGCTCTGGTGGATGAAACCGAGAACACAAAGCTTCTTGAAGCAGCTAGTTGGAAGACAGAGGTTGAGGATGACACTGATAGAGGGCTTTTTGAAAAATGTGGACAAGTGAGTGAAAAGAAAACAATGGACGAAGAAGATGAGGCAGAGAATGTGACGATATTTAAGGAAGTCCAGGACAGAATGTTAGGGAGAGAAAAAGAGGAAGAGGATAGTGTAAAAGAGGAAGACGGTCAGCAGAGTGTTGTGAGCTCAGAAAGCTTTAAGGTCGGAGTAAATGAAAAAATATTAACTGACGAGGTTGTATGTGGGGCAAGATGGGCCGGAGCGACTCATGCAAAAGAACAAAATGACGGGAAAGATGATGCCCCTGAAATGGAAGATTTAACTTGTGAAGATGAAGACAAGGACAGATACAGTGCTGAAGTCATGAATTCAGTGGATTCTGAAGCAGTGAGAACAGAAGAGGAGAAAGACGGGGAATTAAGGATTAAAAGACGTAAGCTCACTGAGAAGACGGCGACGACAACAGACCATCCCAATGAAACAGCCCAAAAAAATGACACTAATGGAGGTGTTAACGTCCATGATGGTGAGCGATGGACTCCTGCCTATGGTGCAACTTCTCTATCATTCAGGTAGGTCATGGCATTTATGATGTACTCCTGTGGTTCCCAACTGGTCCAGCCATGAGGTCCAGATTTCTCCTTAGCCATTAGTTCAAGGTCAACACAGTTTAATACATTCAGCGTCATACTTATGTTCGGCCATGTCATCGAGCTAGTTTGCTGTCTCTGTCAAGAAGCTGTCCATTAGTCACTGACTCTACGGCAGGAAACGGCACTTCAAAATAAAAGTGCAGTGCCGGAAATTCACTGTACTTAAAAATTAAGTATGTTTTTTACAAACTTGACACGTTGGGAGTCACTTGCAGTCCATTCAGAATTGACCCAAGACCCACCAGTTGGGAACCACTGATCTACTTAACTTGCTTTGCCCAAGGGCCACTCATGCTTAATGACAGGAGGCCAGGAGCTAGTTCATAAACAAACACTTTCTACTATCTATGCAGTAGAAAGACACACATACCCAATTGAAATTTGTGCTACTTGGGGGAAACAGAGAAAGAGGACTGTGGCATCACTTTTGCTCAAGAGGTAGAAAACCAACAACTACCGCAATGCACTGCACCAAACCAGACAAAGAAAGGTACCCGCTGGTGGGTGGTGTAATGCTGAACTGACACAATGGTGGCCGGCTGGCAACAAACAAGAGAAAACATCCACCTGTAGAGCTGGAGAACTGCCGTTTTTAGACGTGCACACATGCGAGTTTCAGAGCCACCGTTCTAGATGCCAGTATCAGACCCTAAATCCAAGTGTAACCTCTTTCTCGGTGTCAGCTTACCGGCTCCGAACCGTAGTTGGGAACAGGCTGGCTTTTTAACATTACTTTTACCTTTGCTGGTCAGTAGCTGGTAATTAGCCTCTAGCGATCTGGACCAGTCTGCAAAAGGAAGGATGGCGAGGCATTCGGGTGCCGTTCACACCCTGAGCTCATCTAGACACTTAATTCCAGAGATGGGGACTCGAGTCATTGTGACTTGGACTCGAGTCGACTCGAGTCGCTGTTTTGATGACTTGCGACCTGACTTGACATCAAATAAAAGACTTGAGACTTGACTCGGACTTGGAAGTTAAAGACTCGGGACTTGACTTGACTTGAGACACGATGACTTGAATGACTTGAGTGTTATTCACATCATGTTTTCGGTTAGAATATAAAATTAATAAATTAATTTAAAAAATAATGTCGATTACCCGGTAGGAGCGCAGGCTGAGAATGGCGCTGTCATGATTGGATCATTACCCTGTCAATCAGTCATGCCCTCTCTACGTACCTTACCTGTTTATTGGAGAAACAGGCCCTCTTATATCAGATAGGCATCAACATGTCAGCGGGAGGGGTACCAAGAGTCATCGTCTTCGGCTTTCGGAATTACCATTATTACGGCAAAAGACGAACAGCACAGTGCAAGACATGCGACATAAACATCTTGGACAGCCAGGCGACAACTTCAAACTTTGTTCGTCATTTGAAGAGCCATTCTGCCCAGTAAGTGCTTGTCAATTAGCTAATATTATCTGGTTAGTCGGTAGTTAGCTAATGTTAACTTGATACGATACAGGGGGGGGGTGGGGGGGGGGGGGGGGGGTCGGTTTGGTGGAACTTGTTTTTTAATTTATTTGCTAACATTAACCCCAGAAAACGTGAGACATCACAAGACCGGCTGTACGTTTTATGAACGAGCAACACAGGGTTAAACGAGCTAAATGGGTGATTTTGGCCGCTGCCTTGGTTAGTGTGTGTGTGTGTGTGTGTGTGTGTGTGTGTGTGTGTGCGCGCGCGCACACATGGGGGTCGTCCCTGCAAAGTAAACATTATTCTACTGCTATCATCACTCGTTGCTGTGTGTGTCTTCACCATGACACCCGAGAGAGCTGCTTTCCTCCACACACACACTGAAGCACACATCACAGCCTCACACCGCCCTTAAAAGGTGAGCCGGTAACACAAGACACACTGTAGGGTTTGTGAAAACATTAAAATGCCTTTATTTTACATGGAAATATAGATTTAAAAAACAGACCAAGGCGTTGTGTCTCACGGGTCTTCATTAGGGTTGCACTGGTCTCTTTTTATCTGTATTGCCATATAAAATAAAGGCATTTAAATTTAGTTTAGTTTGTGTTATTGAGTGACTTTCAGAGCCGAACTAAGGTGGCATCCACAGCAGTATGTCGGTTTATATGCAGCAACGACATCATGCAGAAGCCTACACAGGTCATGTGGAGAAAAAGTTTTCAGAAGGGCATGGCAAATAGCATTTGGTGCTTAAATATAAGTACTTAAGCCAAACTTTAGATTTTTTGGATTTGAATACATCAGGAACACTTCTGAAAGCTACAGAATCACATAAAAACACTTTAACATGCTGTGTTTGACTGCATTACTTTCTATTTCTTCATAATAAACATGACCATAAAATGCCTATTTCCAGTCTGAATCCATCACTCCTGTGTTTTATCTCCTCTCCAACAGAGCAGAGGGATTCACTCTTCACTCTTCAGCCGCCTCTTGTGACATAACCCCATCAGAGCTGGAAATGCTTGTGGTCTTGTGGATCCTGCTCTTCTGCTGCTTCATCCTACCTCAGCTGAACTTCTGAGTCCCTCCTGCAGTGCTCCCTCCCTATTAAGATATGCTTATTAGCCCAGTTCCCACTAATGAGCCAAACAAGGACACTCAGGGCTGACTCTTTATCTGTGTCACTAAATTTCCCTCAAGGCAACATTTAATGATTGTGTTTGCTTTTTCGCTGCCAGCAGAAATAATTTGTCTTTTGGGTTATAGTTTCAGATAAAACACATGAATGCTGTTATCTCCATTATGACTCAGTTTGTCAGATACTTGGTCTCACACAACTCAAATTATCAGACATGGGGTTTTTTTTTTCTGCATGTCCAAAATTCTCTGTTTGATTTATTTTTTCTGGCAGAAATCCTCCTTTCAATTTCAGTTGACTTTATCGACCACATGGAGGCAGCGCAGCATCACAGCAGAGACTGTCTCAGACGACAGACCGTCTCTGCAGCATTCTGTCGACTACTGAGAATCTGACCTGCTGTTTAATTAGAAGCTGTATTGACACGCTGAGATTAAGCAGATAATATTTAATGAGCACTTTGACATTTCGCACTCAGAACGTATACATTGTCATTGTTTTGATCAACAATGTTGACTTTTTACTTGACTTTTCTGTGACTATGAAATATAAATAATAATTCGTACTCTCATGTATCTTCTGGTCCTTTCCATGAGGTCAAATCAGAAATCAGCCTTGTAAATATTCTATTTGAAGGTGCTGTAGATGCACTGGGGGAATTAGTATTCAACATGTCAACATTTTTTTCATTAAACATATTCTCAATGCAGCTATTCACCTGAAATTGACACAAGACATTGACATTAACTCAGTAAAATTGCACAGCAAATGGAATCGTAACATTTCCAACCATAAAAATATATGTGCAATAAAGTGTAAAAACATAGGGAAAAAAGTTTTGAACACACCAACTGAAATGTTTTTTTTAAAACAATCAAACATTTATATCATTATTTCTGCTTTAAATAAAGCAAACAGGTATTAAAGAAACTTTATGAAATGATATAAAGAAGAAAAACAGACGTAAAAATCAACATTTTGTTTTTTTTCTTTAAATACATTTGGTGTGATATCCTAACTCAGTGTTTCCCAACTGGTGGGTCGTGGTCCAAAAGTGGGTCAGTTATTTTTGACTCTTTCCCCACCATTGACCAGATATTCTGGCAATCTGTGTTTTCACTGTTATAAGATAGGGGGCGCTGTTACACATCTTGTAAAATAGAACAGCACTCCCGTATCCAAAAACAAATGAAGAAGACAATCTGCTGGAAACCGGAAGGAGATGTTGTAGCTTGTGACTGCACGAAAATGCGGATGACGACTGAAAGCTGTGGAGATGTTGATGGACTCGGACACCGTCACTTCCTGTTTTGATCTACATTCTGAATCTGATTTGGACAAAGAAGCACACGAGTTTGGTGGGACGAAACGGGATCTCCATGGTGGTGACAGTGACACACAGACAAGATGACCACAGAGGAGGCAGAGACAACAGAACACTGTGAGGACCTTGAATGAATGACTAAGGAGAAATCCGGACCAGTTGGGAACCACTGGTCTAACTCATGTCGTTCAAACAATCTGATGCTGACCTCATAACACCTTTTCATCCTCAGAGACCAAATTCATTTGTTACCACAGAACATTCTGTACCCTGAGCCAACTTTGGGCCAATGCCCGTAATGAGTACACTCATTTACTTTAATGCTAATGTGCAACATTAACCTCGCAGCACCACCAACAGTTCAGTGCAGTTATAACTTGGTGAGACGCACTGGAAGAACAGTGGATCCCTCTGCATTGGTAATCTCTCGCAAAATCCCATTCCAGCACATGTCCGACTCCTCATATCTCCAGATGTCTGTCGTCTCTGTTGTTGGATTGAAATGTTAGGACTTCTTTATCTGTGTAGTTTCACTGAATTAATATAAATGTCTGGTGTAAATTTCATGTCAGTAGCTGCATTGCAAATAGGTTCAATGAAAGAAAATGTTGGCATGTTGAACACTTATTTTCCCTCACTGTATATTAGGCACATGTACAGTGTCTTTGTTACATCACCAGTGTGCACACAGTGAAACTAGAGCAAAATCTAAGTATGAATCCGTTGCATAAGTGTTCAAAATCCATGTTGACCAGAGTGCGTATTAAAGGGGGGGAATGAGTGTGCCCTGTCCTCTCTGTCCACACACACACTCACACTCACACACACACTCATTCATTGCTGAATTTCTAAGAAACTAAAAAACATGCCGCTGTTGTTTGCTTGGAGCCCGACCCACGGGTCAAAAGCTCAGCCCCTGGAGATCGATGCGCTTTCAACACCACTACCAACCCCCGCACAAAGCCATGAGAAGAACACACTTCCCCAAATCTGGAGGTCTTATGAGAGATCAACCTGCAGCGCCGAGCCAGGATGGCGAGAAAAGAAGCGACGATGGCTGTTATGTATTCTTTTACATGTCTGGTGTTGTTAACGGGTCTCGCAGCAGATGAGTTGCTTCCACCAAAGCCTGAGAAACTCTTCAGCAGGCCTCTGCAAAAGGAACAAGAGGTCAATCAGCACCTCAACACATCAGCCCTAAACACAGCCTTGGCCTTTGAACTTTACCGCGACATGGCAACCAGAACCGCCGCTGAGCCTGAAGTCCAGCGACAGCCCAACATCTTGTTCTCGCCTCTGGGCTTGGCGTCAGCTCTGGCCCTGCTGTCCCGAGTGTCTGGGTCCGAGAGTCGGCACCAGGCCCTGGAGGCCCTGGGGCTGGCAGCCAACTCTACAGAGGAGAGCGTTGAGGCCACCATATCAGCTCTTACTGATCTGCAACGTAGCTTCACTGAACAGGAGGGAGGGGGTGGAGGCGGGGTCCAAAGGGCAGAGTCTGAGGCTGGACCTGGAACAGAAGATGAGATTGGTGCCACGCCAGGGGTGGAAAATGGAGGGGCGGATGCTGGAAGCAGAGCTGATGTAGATGATGGGCCAGAGGGTAGGAATGGAACTGAGGATGGGGTTCATCCTGAGGGTCAGCTGAGAGTGTGGAGCAGCCTACATATTGATGGAAAACCCTCACTAGACTATGACAGCTTTTTGTCCAGGCCTCAGCACACTGAACCCTCCACCCTCAACATCAGCTTTGACACACTGATCAAAGACTTGGAAGCCTCTGACAAACTTGAACTTAACAATTATGTGTATTTCAAAGGTAGCGTCTCCTTGTATGGGTGATTAAAAAATGCAGTTTTTATACATATGTATTGTCAACACAAGTTGGGAAGTATTCCTGCACTTTAAAGCTGGGGAAGGCAGTATAATTTTGGTGTCACTGGGCAAAAATTCCGCAATAAACTTTCAGCATATTGAAATTCAAGTGATCTGAGAGAAAAATTGGTTTCTGCACTTCCTCTTGGCTCCATTTTTAGGCTTTAGAAAATCTAGCCTGTGGCGGTAGACTATGGCCAATGGCTGTTCTACAAATCCAGATTCGCGTGCACGTCCCCTCCAGTTCCAGTATTGGCAATACTGCCTACACTGCAAAGCAACCAGACAGAGACAGACTTTCAAATAGAGAGTCAATAAACAAAACAAAACAGATGTCAGTATTGGGGAAGTGTTTCAGAGATGGAAAGATGCTGATAGTTTAGCCATCTGCTAACTGGAACCAAGACTACTGGCTGCTGCTTCAAGTAAACGTTTCTGTAGCTAACGTTAGCTAGAGCCTAAAATCACAGTGTGTCTTCCACCTCACTCACCGCCGCATGCACGTCCCTTTAGATGGTGAAAGTTGGGTTCCGCTACAGACCACCTTGCTGGGAGGAGAGCGGGCAGCAGCTCTAGAGACTGACCCACGGCTGCCACTTCACAATTATGTTAATGTAGCTAATGTTATTGAGAGCCTCAAATCACAGTGTTCTCTGCCTTACTCCCCAGTGCTACAGACCACTTCACCAGGTGGAGAGCAGGCAGCAGTACTGACCCCCAGTCAGCGGCAGCAGCAACCTGAATCTGGCTAGCGCAAACCCCAGGTCCAGGGTACCAGACAGCCCTGACTGCCGGCCAAATCAGCAAACTTTCTGTTGCTGCAGTTACACAGTTTAGACCATGCACTGCTGCTGGGCACCAACCAACTGTGACACCCAACGCTCGCCAAAGTTGAGCTGCTACAGCCATCTTTTCTGTGCTGGTGCCCGCTCTCCTCCCAGGAAAGCTGTCCACAGCAGCGGGGAGCAAGGTGGAGGAACCATAGGATGGCTAGCAGCTAATTCTTGTCTCATTCGTCTTCTGATAAACAGAGAGAGCGGGGCAAGGAGGGGCTGAGTGAATGAGTGAAATGCAGTTGTACAATTAATGGGAAACACATACATACTTACCGTCTGAGGCACGTGCATATGCTTGTGGTCACCTGGTGGGAGGGGCTTAGGACAGAGAGGGCAGACTGCAGGGGACGGTGTGTTCTCTAATTCTACTGCTTTTTTTTTTGCCTTTTCCAGATTTCTGCCTACCCCAGCTTTAAGAGTATGAAAAATCAGACAGATCACTTTGCAAAAGAAGAAACATTCACCTTCAAAATCATCTTCAAATGAAAATGAGCTGCAGCTAAATTCGAGCTCATTGTGTCAGTGCAGTACCACCCACTGCACAGCATACTGAGCACCTGCTTCTTCATCAGTCATTGTTTTTTATGTAGAGCAGATGCTCCCTGGTGACAGTTGGTGGTAGTAAATTTACACAGCAGGTGCTTTTTATAGGTGTGCGACCTCTATCTTTGACAATTTATTGTCATATTTCATCCGTAACCTGTTCTCTTTATTAATGACACATAAATCAGGTCGTCAGCCGTTCGAGCGGCGCCACACAGTGCCACGGAGCTTCCAGCTGAATGCCACGACCAGCGTGGAGGTTGCCATGATGTTCAGGGATGACTCCTCTGAGGTGATGATGCTGTATGACACCAACTGCTCAGCCACGGTGGTGCAGCTGGCTTACACAGAGCGGCTGGCCTCACTGCTCCTGCTCCCCAAAGCCGAGTTGCAGCCTCTGGAGGACTGCCTCTCTGCCAGCCGCATGAGCTTCTGGCTTAGCAACCTGAAGCCAGGGTAGGTGGGGACGCCAAACTGTTGAACTGGAATGAGCTGCAAACCATGTCAAGTTATCCTCTCACTCTTGCATGGACTTTTTGTTTCAGCAGCTTGAAGGATGAGTGGAAGTGAAAAAATTTACATGTGAGGCCAGGCAACCCAGTCACCTGAATAAATGTTGGCATTGTACGTTTCTGCAACCACACATGTTACATTTGTACATTATTATGTAGCAGATAAACTGAAACTTTACATTTCAACAATGCTGTGGTTAAAGTGTGGTTAGATTTAGGCACAAAAACTACCTGGTTATGGTTAGGAAACAATCATGTTTTGGCTTAAAATACCCGCTTTTAGTGGCACAATACCAGCAGTAAACAGGGAAACATTTATGTCTTTGTAAAAAACAGCTTTTTGCAGCACTATCCAGGCAGAAAAAAAAGTGATGTTGCAATGTTCTGGTAAAGAAAAAGGACCCCTTTCCGTGGCACTATCCTGACATGAAGCCTAAGCACTGCCTTTGTAAAAGAAAGAAAAAAGCAATGCTTTCGTACAAAAAAGGATGCTTTTCATGGGAACTGCCCATTGGTTCGACAGCCCATTGGTTCGACATCCCATTGTTCCGACCATATTAAACCCATTGTTCCTAAGTCCGTTCCGAAATCATCATGATGCCCTGTGGTTAAGGTCTGGTTAGGTTTAGACACAAAAACCACTTGGTTAGGGTCAGGAAAAGATCATGGTGTGGGTTACAATGAAAAAGAAAGTGACAAACACATAAGCCATGAGCCTGCTCCGCCTCAAGCCGGTCGCGGACACCATACGCCCGCCGCGAGCCGTTCAGCACTGCGGACAGTCGGACTAATGGGATGTCGAACCAATGACATGGACCCCTTTTCACAGCAGTATTCCGGTGGGAAACGCAGTGACGTCTCGGTTGAAAACAACCGCATTTCATGGCACTATCCCAACAGGATACGCAGCAGTTTCTTGGTATAAAACAAGTGCTTTTTTTGTGGCACTATCCCCAGAAATGCAGTGATATTTTGGGGGAAAAGAAAAAAAACAAAACCTTGCTTTCATGGCACAATTTACCTATGGCTAAGCCACGCCCCCCTCCACTCACTCGGACAAACTATCAACATTCAGTGACCGGCGCTATGGCAGGTGTCACAGTACACGGCATTTCGCAGGAGGCAATTGATGATTTTTGGGGACTTAACGATCAGATGTCATTGAGAAGTAACCAAAAGGGCCTAAACTACGCATTGGAGGGATATATTCATCATTTTATTGTTGAGAAGCTCGATGAAAAGCTTAAATTACAAGCCAAAATTTACAGGTCACAGTGTACGCTTGTGAACCGCATCTCGTTGCCGTCACCATCAAAGACAACAAGTTAAAGTGCCACTGAAGTTAAGGTTTTTGGCTCAGAATATGAGAAAAGGATAACGGCCTTTTACCATCTTTACCAAGAGTGTCTCTCCGTTAGTTTGGTGCTACAGTATTTACACTGAATCATTCAGCATAACGTTTGCCAACCTTTGTTATCTCTGCCATTACAGATAAGTTAATGAAGCTAAGCTCCAGAAGTTAACGTTAGCTTAACTAGAGCCCTTTGGACAACAGCTAACAATGATGTACGATCACCAAAGTACAAAACTAGAACAAAATAGGCTAATGAACTCCCAGCAAACAAGGTGACATGATGAACAACGCAGCTAGGAGCTAACGTTAGGCTAACTTTAGCTAACGTTAGCTAGAGATGTTAAAGATAACTTTATATTTCTTTCCAGCAAAGTGACAATATGTTGCCTCAAACACAATGTTGTCTTACCTTAGAACAGATGTAGACATCATTGTTAATCTTATTCACGTTGAGTTGATGTTGTGGTCTAACGTTACCACACAACTTTATCCAAAGGAGACACTTTTCTCGGTTGAGATGTGGTTTAAAGTGTAAAAAATACACCTGGTCGCCCAGCCTCTCAGGATACCTTGTGTCAGAGTTGCATGTACCCCATGCACACCGTTTGACCATTTTTAAACTTCAAATCTCAGAAAAAGCTCATAAAACCGAACAAAACTGACTTTCTGTAATGCATTTCAATGAACGTCCAGGCAGAGAATGTCCGAGTGTATGGGAATGTCTGTACACACTGTGATTGGCTCATCGCGTTTGAGGGCGGGGCTTAGCCATAGGTCAATTCTGGTTGGAAATGCAGTGATGTCACATCAAAAAAGACAACAGCATTTAGTTGCACTATCTTGATAGGAAACGCAGTAATGTCTCCATCAAAACCAACAGAATTTTGTGTCACTATCTTGGCTGGAAACACAGCAATATCTTGGTAATAAGCAACTGCTTTTTGTAGCGCTATCCTGACAGGATATGCAGCGATGTCTCCGTAAAAAAACAGGTGCTTTTTGTGCACTGTCTGCAGAAATGCAGTGATGTTTGGTTTAAAAAACCCTTGCTTTCATCGCACAGTCCCAATTGGAAATGAAGCAATATCTTGGTAAAAAGAAACTGCATTTTGTGGCACTATCTCAGCAGGAAACGTTACCTCACCAGATAAGTCAGCTCAAATGCTTCGTCACTTCAGAAACGTACCAGTGTAACGTATGCATGGCTGCAGAAATATACGATGCCAACATTTTCTTCTGGTGACTGATGTGTTTTGGGCATGCTCAGGAACAAGTAGTGAAGCATCTGGTGGTATATATGGGTTTGAGTGCCTCCATGAACAGTACATGCCCTCCATAAAGGGTGTTTGCTTCCCCCTGAGTGTACAGTATATCGATCCATGTCACTGCTCTGGTCCCCTGCAGTCACTCGCTTTCTGTTGTGTAGCATGATGAATGATGCTGAGTAGATTCTAAGTCAGCAATAATTACTGCTCTCTACACATCAGTGAGCGAAAGCCTGCAGTACGGGTCCCACGAGTTGTAACAAGACAACTTAGAGCAAATCCATTAAAACATTGATTGTTGTTTTCACAGGCGGGCAGAAATCCGTTTCCCAAAGTTCCAACTAAGGAAATCCTACAGTTTAGAAAGCCTCCTGAGGAACTCCGGCGTATCGTCTGTTTTCTCAGACTCAGCCGACTTCTCAGGAATATCGCAGAAGACACTGAAACTCATCAAGGTTAAGAGAAAAGTTTTTTTCTATGTCATAATGAATTAGCATGAAACTTGCAGGCTTATTGCGTGATTGGGACCTTATTACACCTCAGAACTTCACTTTCATTAATGATGTGGAAAGGACATGCATGCTGAAGTCCTGTATTTGCTCAGCTCTCTGTCTTCAATGCTCACATTCAGTGTCTTTATTCTGTCTCCGTTCTCTCACCACTCCTGTTTCCTTGCCATTACTCAGGCTCCCCATGAGGTTATGCTGGAGGTGGAAGAGACCAAGTCAGAAGATGGGGGGAGACCTGACATCACACTGGACTTCTTTGTCCCCCCGAGAATTACTTTTAACAGACCATTCATGCTCATAATCTATGATGACCTCACAGGGCTCGTCCTGCTCATAGGGAGAATTATCAATCCTACAGATGTCTAGACTGGAGTCAACATCACAGTCTCCTTTAGTGCTTTTTTTCTTTTGCTATTGATTTTATACTGAATTCACTTACATTACCAGCCCAGTCTCCAGGAGAAAAAAGTTGGCATTGTACATTTCTGTTAACCATGAATATGTTACCTTTGTAAGTTTAATACATGTCATATCAGTGTTTCTGAAGTGATGTAGTATATCAGCCGTCTTTGTCATCTAGAGGTGGAGGAGATAGTGGATGGTAAGACACCTGCCAAGCTGCAGACCACTGTTTGAGACCAACAAACTACAAAACTGGTTGTTTTTTAGCAAGTCGTTGATGTGTTTCTGCTGAGGATAGTGCCACTAAAAACGATTGTTTTTATCACACTTCCCTGCATTTACAGCCAGGATAGTACCACAGAAAAAGTTTTTTTTTCTTTTTTTTAAGTGAGACATTGCTGCATTTCTAGAGGCATTTTTGGCAATCAAATGTGGATGTTTTGTCGTGAGTCTTCGCTACATTTCCAGCCAGGAGAGTGTGAAGAAAAGTGATTGTTTTTACAAAGACATGCTGTGTTTCCAGGCAGGATAGTGCTACAGAAAACTTTTTTTTTCTATCACTGAGACTTTGCTGTAATCCTAGTGGATTTTTAGCTACTAAACGTGGATGTTTTCTAACAAGTTTTTGCCACATTCCCAGTCAGGAAAGCCCCATGAAAACCGGATGTTTTTCATCAATACAATTCTGAGCTCCCACCTGGGATAGTGCCACAAAAAGCTTTTTACAGAGACACTGCTGCATTTGTAATGGCTTTCTAGCCACCAAACAGGGGTGTTTTGTAGTGAGCCGCCGCTGCATTTCCAGCAAGGATAGTGCCAAAAACGGGGGTTGCTTCTCACCAAGACATCGCTTGTTTCCAGCTGGGATAGTGCCACAGAAAACTTTTTTGTTCTTTTTTTTTTAACTGAGATATCACTGCATTTCTAGCGGCTTTTTAGCCACCACAGGTGGATATTCTGTAGTGAGCCTTCACTGCATTTCCAGCAAGGATAGTAGCGAGAAAAGCAGTCGCTTTTTACAGAGACATTAAAGGGATAGTGAACCCAAAAATGAAAATTCAGCCATTATCTACTCACCCATATGCTGAGGGAGGCTCAGGTGAAGTTTTAGAGTCCTCACATCTCTTGCGGAGATCCAAGGGGAGAGTGGGTAGCAGCACAACTCCACCTAATGGAGGCTGACAGGGCCCCAGATTAAAACATCCAAAAAACACATAATTGAAACCACATAATATCTCCATACTGCTCGTCCGTAGTGATCCAAGTGTCCTGAAGCCCCGACATAAAAAGTTGTTTGGAAAAACATCATTTGAGCTCTGTTTTTAGCCTCATTGTAGCCTGTAGCTCTAACTGAAAGCGCGCACACGTGAGCTCGGTATACAGAGAGGCAGTTAGAGCTACAGGCTACAATGAGCCTCCATTAGGTGGAGTTGTGCTGCTACCCACTCTCCCCTTGGATCTCCGCAAGTGATGTGAGGACTCTAAAACTTCACCTGAGCCTCCCTCGGCATATGGGTGAGTAGATAATGGCTGAATTTTCATTTTTGGGTGCACTATCCCTTTAATGCTTTTCTAGATTTCTAGATTTTTATCCGCTTAACATAGGTGTTTTGTAACGACCTGTCGCTGCCTTTCCAGCCAGGATAGCACCAAAAAAATGGGTTGTTTCTTACCAAGACAACGCCGGGTTGCTGCCAGGATAGTGCTATGAACAACAGTTTTAACCCAGTGCTGCATTCCCAGTAAGGAGTTTGCCCCCAAAACTGCAGATTTTAAGCCAAAACATGGATGTAACCACACATTAACCACAGCATTGTTGAAATGTAACGTAAAGTTTCATTGCATTCGTTACATTATAATGTACAAATGTAACGTATCTGGTTTGCAGAAATGTATGATGCCAACATTTATTCTGGTGATTGAGTTGGCATAACATAATTTCTATTTTCCCAATATGGCTGATTATTCTTGAGGAAAGAAATGCATTTCCAGCAATCTCACTTAAGTTTGAGTGTGTTTTGTTTTACCTCCAAATAGGATGATTTACAGTTTATTTCTCCATTTTCACAAAATCATGAAAAGACATTCAAATGGCAGTAATTTATCCCTGTGACTGGATGTCTGCTATTTTTGCAAAAACATAAAACACTTTCCTTCCATTACAAATGCATTTCCTCTCTTCTTCTTTTTCACACCGTAACTCATTTCCTCCTTTAACATCAATTTATCATCTTATGCAATTACCGGAAATTGCTTTGCGAGACCATCCAGGCTTATTCACCAACACAAGAAGTAAACTCAGACAAATAAGTGATACATTTTCACACTGCAGGAGAGTTAAGTAGCTTCAGGACATTTTTACCTCAGCATCATGTCCTGTTGATGATACTGAGCTGATTGAGGAGATGATGAATAGAGGATCGTTTGATGAATAGGACAACAGATCTATCACAAGTAACAGAAATGTCAGCCTATTAATCAAGAAGGGTCCTTCTGACTCCTTAAAAGCCCAGGTTTGAGAGCCGATAGGAGGAGTGAAGGCTCCCCAGAGGTGAGGTGCGTCACTTTTTCAGCAGAAATGGATGTTCACAGGTCAAACTTAGTCTGTTACTTCTTAGTCTGGAACTCTTGTTCAGCTATGCAATCTTCATTTTTATCTTTTTCTTCTTGTTGTTATTCAATATGGGAGGTATCTTTATAAGCCATTTTTGGCCTCTCAACTGCACAATGTTTTAACGTTTGATTTCTTTTTTCTGTATTTTCTCTACATGTATGAGCAAATAAACTAAACTATACGGGTCGAACTTAGAGAAGCTGATCCTTCTTTATTATCAACTTCATAGTAAGGCTTTCAGTACTGGAATCAAGTAAGTCGTGAAAAATAAGACGTGTCAGATTTAGACACTGCAGATGTTTTTTTCAGTGTTTCAGATATAAATTGAATCATTATTTATCGGATCGGACTCAGTATTGGCAGATAATTATGAGTGAAGGATTCAGTTAGGAATCAAGGCCAAAAAAACCCTTGATCAGGACATCCTGAGTCTAAATATTTCATTGAACTGTTTACTTCATATGTTGTAAAGTTAGTAAAGTTGTGGTTGCATTGAACCGTGTTCGGTGTTATTATGTTATTGTGTGGTGTTGTGTTTGTGCATGTGGAGGAAACCCACACAGATACAGGGGAGAACATACAAATACCACATAGAAAGGCCTCACATGGCTGAACCATTAATACTGATGGATGGCTGTAGGATTTTAAAATACTAGTTCATGCTATTTTATGGGAAAAAAACATACCACTTATTTATGTCAGAACTGAAATGAAGGGATCAGAATGACTTTACGATCTGACAGGTTTGAATGACCAGTGATTTCTGGTGTGTCATTTGAATTCTTAAAGGATGTCATGATTAAAGCTGGGGTAGGCAGAAATATGCAAAAGGAAAAAACTGGCCGAATTTGGGCTCTCTGCCCTCTCTGTCCTAAGCTCCGCCCACCGGACAACCACGAGCATATGCGTGCATTTCATACAGTAACCCAGTGTTTCCCATACACTGATTTATTTCATCTTATTTCATTGTAGAGTTGCATGCAGTGCATTGACTCAGCCCTTCCTTTCTACGCTCTACGTGACAGTGCTGGGTCTGACCTGTGTAACAGCAGCAACAGAAAGTTTGCTGATCCAGCAGGGAGTTAGGGCTGTCCAGTCCAGGAGCTGGGGTTTGTGCTGGCTGGATTCAGGTTGGGTGCGGACGGTGGGTGAGTCTCTGCTCTCAGTGCATTTACATGACTTTACAAAGAATGGATTTATTGTGTCAGTCCGATGAAAACCGGACTTTTGATAGACATTTAAAGACGTCAGTCTGACTGAAATCATACAAAATTTAATTTCTCAAAGTGGGACTAACACACCAAGATAGTGTGATTGGGAGTCGAATTCCTCCTGCATGTTAAAAGTCAATCAGACCCAAACTGGCCGAGCCACTCTGAGCATGCTCCACAGTTTCGGCCAGTAGCCTTGTCATTGCATCTCGCAGGTAAAGGGGCTCAAATTAGTGCGTTCACCCAGATGTTGTATTACCATCACTGCTGATCACAGCTGGAGCCAATAAATACCCGATTACCGCAGAGACATTTGACCTGGGTGTGAATGCCAACTGTAACCTTTCCCATTACATTAAAGAGCCGATGTTGGCAGTTTTTTTTTTTTTTAAAGTCCATCTTCCTTTTTTGGGTTTCTTTGCAGTGTAGGCAGTTGTTTTGCTAATGCTAGAAAAGTAACTTTCTCTGCAGGATTCTCCGCCATTGAATCAGACTGTCACCATCTGAAGGGACGTGCACGTGCATCTGCATTTGTAGAGCAGCCAATAGGAGCACCCGCTCTCTGAAATGATCTGTGATTGGCTCACAGTTTAGATCTTCTAAATCCTGAAAACAGAGCTAAGAGGAGGTGCAGAAGTCTAGTTTTCTCTCAGTCCACTTGAATAACAATATACTAAAGGTTGTTGTGGGGTTTCTGCCCAATGAGGTCACACAGCTTTAATGTTAACATGTGATGCAATACAAAACACACATTTATTTTTTCATAAAACACTTCCCTTTTTTTAAATGGCCTGTCATCTCACCAGTGGCTCATTCCACATGTTGTGCAGAGACAGTTGTGTTGCATCAGTGAAGATATCAGTGCAGATATCCTGGTTAATATTTGACCCGACCAACAGCTGACTCTCACAGCTCGTGTATAAAAAGGGGAAGTTTCTGGCAAACTGTCTGCAGCAAAGAGGACGTTAAAGGTAAGCATGGCACTTTATTGAAATATACTAATATATAACTTGAAACATTAGATGTATTAGACTTTCATTCATTGTGTGGAGCTTTTGAGAGGCTAAATCACTGTCCACTTGTAATTCTATTTAAAAAGAATTCTGCTGAGCCCATCCAGGGCCGTAATCACCTATTTAACATTGGGGGGACCCTTTTTAATGTACACCTTCTGCAATGCAACCTTCCAGGCAGGTTTGAGGGAATTAGAAACTTAACAGTAAATGACCATTTTAAACGTTTAGAAACACACATCTTGGATTAGGGGTTTCCAAAGTTTTGAAGACTGAGTGCACACACTGACTTTAAAAAAACAACAACTCTCTTTATTGACATTTCCAAGGTCCAAACAGATAACTTAATCATCCTTATATCTTTCCAAGCCTTCTGTGAGACACTGCAATAGCAGAGGGTAACATAAAAATGGTTACAGTAGAAAATACAGATGCCAAAAAGGACCAATAAAGTAAATGTAGATACAGGTACGAAGATAGCAAAACAAATACAACAAAGAAAACTGAACTTAATAAATAGGACCAGAATGTATGGATGTGTCTTTGTAATACTCTAATTCAGTGGTTCCCAACTGGTCCAGCCACGGGGTCCAGATTTATTCATTAGTTTAAGGTCCGTCCCATTTAATACATTTGGCCTCATACTCATACATCGTGTTTGGCCGTGTTGTCGAGCTTCTTTGCTGTCTCTGTCAAGTAACGGTCTGTTAGTCACTCAATCTAAAGGCTAATCTAAAGGATATTCACTGTACTGTACTGTGTTATTTACAGAGGTGGTCTCTTCAGAATGGACCCATGACCCAGTTTTAGACCGTGACCCACTAGTTGGGAACCACTGCTCTAATCATTTTACAAAAAAAGGACGAGAAAAATATTAAGATTAAAAAGATAAAATAAATAAGAGAGGATTTTTTTTTTTTTTTTTAAAAAAAGACAAGAATTCCCCTTAAACAAATGAAGAACCTCCAGGCCTGATATGCTTCATCCAACTTTCCCATCTTTTCAAAAACTTGCAGTCTCATAGAAAAAAATAATCCCTTCCATCTTAAAGATGTCACATATAATGTCAATCCAATCACTGACTGTAGGTGTTACTGGTTTTTGCCACCTTCCAGTAATGGCTTTCCTTCCGGCTGCACTTTGGACTCAAAATAGATCTCTCTCATGACAGCAAACATTGTCTAAAGGTAGAGCGTCCAAATATAGGGTCTCAATTTAAATGCATCGTCCACCTGGTGCACTTTTTGCAAGGACCAGAATATGTGATGGTCATATTGTCTCCAGCAGTTGGAACATTTGATATATGACTCTGTTGAACTGGAGTAATAAAGAACCCAATGAACAACAACAATAAAACTTTTTGGTTGACATAATTTCTTCCATTCCTTTTCGGTTATACCTACGTTTCCTTCCTTTTCCCATTTTTGTTTTATATACAATGCCATTTGATAGTTGTAATCCCCTAATAAGTCTTGAAATGGTTTTTTGGTTTGAGTTCAAAACACAAGCCTCTATGAAGACTTTTAATAAAATATTATCCACGTGCCTGTTTTTTAAATATATCTTCATTAATCGGTCAATATGGTGCTGAACTTTAAGAAATCAAAAATTAGCGTCAACTGTTAACTCCTATTAGTAGAGTGTAGACCATGCTCACCCCAGCGTCACCTCCATGTTCAGCTTTAAAAAATTACAAAAATAATATCTCGGATTGTGTATCTTCTGCTTTGTAGTCTTGACAGAAGTGGTATCTGGCTTAGCCACGGCCCAAACTAGAGGTCGCCCAGTACAGTGGTGGTTTTTAAAAGGCCAATGTAACAGTTTGAAACGGGAACATTTTTTTGACAGTGTCAGAAAGTGAATTAATACATGTAAATTTGGAACTGAACATCAAACTAACTGTAAAACAAAAACTAGGTGGCTGTGAATTTTATTTTATTGTATTTTCTTAGCTCTGATTTTTCCTCGATTGCTACCTGAGATTCTCAGGTACACAGTGAAACTACCTACCCTACCTACTCAGTGGTAAAAAAAAAAAAAAATCTAAATGTTATTTCAAACAAAATACTTTAAAGTGAAGCAAATGTATCTTTTTAAATACTTAAAAATACTTTTTAGATGAATCATTAAACATAAAAACAAGACTATAGGTTAGTGTATGGCAGGACTGAACATGAAACACTGGAGGGCTTTGTTTTAAAACATTTGAACCCGGATATGGGACGTCAGTGCATTCTTGCATTCGAGGTTCACTGTTGTGCTAAAGTTAAAGTTGATGGATGCCCAGTTTTATGCACATTATGACAGCATGAATATAGTCAATACATTATTGGGCTGGACAGGTTGATACTTTTTGAATACTGGGGTAACTTGTACACCCCAGAGCTCAATTAATCTCTTCTGATTTTCCCTGGCCAGGCTGTGAAGATGCGTGGGATCTTTGCTAGTTGTGCACTCGCAGCACTGCTGCTGGCTGCAGCCTGGGCAGACCACCACCACCACCATGGCTCTGATCACAGCCACGAGGGAGAGCTGAGCTGCCACAAGCTCTCTCCTCCCAATGCTGACTTTGCCTTTGCCCTCTACAAAAATCTGAATGCCCACACTGCTGCCGGGAAGAACATCTTCTTCTCACCACTGGGCATCTCCGCAGCCCTGTCCATGCTGTCTACAGGGGCCGGTGGTGAAACCCACAATCAGCTGCTCTCTGGCTTGGGCTACAGCACCCTCACCCAGGCGCAGGTCAACGAAGCATATGAGCATCTCTTCCACATGTTGGGACACAGCCAGGAGGATCAGCAGCTGAATGTCGGTAACGCTGTGGCTGTGCGCTCTGGCTTCAATCCTTTGGAGAAGTTCCTGAACGACATCAAGCACCACTACTCCGGTGAGGTCTTCAAGGTCGACTTCACCAAACCTGCAGACGCTGCAGCTGAGATCAACAGATTCATTGCCACCAACACCCAGGACAAGATCAAAGACATGGTGAAGGACCTGGACCCTAATATGGCCATGGTGCTGATCAACTATGTCTTCTTCAGAGGTAGGAGGCATGCAAGTACAGATCAATTCTGAAAGACAGCAGTTAACGCAGATAGCCAATCGTTCTGTCAACACATAGAGATGCAGCATTTACAAAAGTTCAGGCACCCATTAAACTCTTCAAGGAGCTCGAGGACCGAGCATGCCACGAATATGTAAAACAGTCTGACAGATATTAAAAGAACGTGAGACCGATTTCGTGCAACATTTTAACATTGTGTGTCTCGTACAGGACAGTGGGAGAAACCCTTCAATGGAAACCTGACACACAAGGAGGACTTCACTGTGGACGAAACCACAAAGGTTCAGGTGGACATGATGAGGAGGATGGGTCGCTTCGACTTCTATCAGGACTTCGACAACCACACCACCGTCATTATGCTGCCCTACAAAGGAAACACCTCCATGATGATCGTCCTGCCTGATGAAGGCAAGATGCAGGAGGTGGAGGGCTACATCAGCAAGGACTACATCAGGCACTGGCATGACTCACTCTACAGGAGGTAAAAGAGGAGTTTGATTTGTCTTGTCATATGTTGGGCCTTTATGCATAATCAGTGACTGGACTAAATGGAGGGAATGCTGAATAGATGAGGTGTCCTTATTATGTACAACTTGAGTTGAGTCAGCTGTATATTCCAGTGATTGTGACACTGGTGATGTTTTGTGTTTCTCAGTTCTGTGGATCTGTCCTTGCCAAAGTTTTCCATCTCTGCTGAGGCCTCGCTGGGCAGCACACTGACAGAAATGGGCATAACTGATGCTTTTGCAGACAACGCTGATTTCTCTGGCATCTCTGACGAGATCAAGCTCAAAGTCTCAAAGGTAGGATCAACACAGCAAACATGCCCTTTACATGTTTGCTATGGGATTTGAAATGACAGTGCCTCATGGGGCAGGGTGTCCATGAGTATCAGACACTCACATTTAATACTTCTTAAGACATTTGCATGATCATTTTGAACAAAATATTAGACAGATTTTTGACAAATCATGTTTTTCTTATTTAAGCATCGCAGGTAAGGGACTGTTCTTTATCATCAGAGAAGCGGGGTGGCAGGGGTGTGACTGTTCTTAGTGACCCTCCCTGAAGCTACAGATGTTCTCTTTGAGCCTCCCTAAGTCACTGGCGGAAAATGCATGACCCTGCCTCCACCATAAATTAGTTATTAGATTTTTAAAACTTAGGCTCTGATGTTTGAAAGTTAAAGATTTAAAGTTGAAGTCCTGGAGTTGAAAAAACGAATGAAAAAAACATCTTAAACAATCTTTTAGTATATAATATTTATGACCAATATCAGGAAAAATGGTGCCAAGAAATGAAGCTTAAAAACTGTCAATAATGTTCTACTAGTCCATACCCATTGAGTACAGCATACCATACCATGACTTAGTCATACCAAAAATTAGAAAAAAACAAACATTGGGCCACAGGGGGAGCCACAGCGATCGGTCGCATTTTAGCCATTTTTAAGCATTTTTCTGTTGTTATAGCTCCACCCAGTTGCCAATTAGAGTTAAATTTCTCCAGTCTCCTTGAGGTATCCTGTTCTACATATCTACTAAGTTTAGTAAAAATTGATATGGCGGTTAGGCCTAGATAAGAAATTAGCTCTCTTGTGCCCCCATTTTGTTTGATGGGGTCAATAATGGAGGGGTCCCCTCAGATTATGTGTGGTCACATGCCTACAAAGTTGTGTGGTGATCGGTGAAACCCTTGAGATGTTATACACCTTTATGTGAAGAGCCACGCCCTCTGCAATATTCATTGCCTTATAGAAGCTCAGTTTTAATAAGTTTTCCAACTTTTGCCAAGAGGGAACTTTAGATATTGGTCCCTAGATTATGTTCACCCAGTTTCATGCAGATTGGTCAAACTTCCTAGGAAGAGATCGATTTTAAGTGTTTTTCAAAAAATTCAAAATGGCGGAAAATCTATATAACCGGAAGTTATGGGTTCTTGAGGCAAATTTGTTCCTCATGAGGAGAGGCATCTCTGTGCAAAGTTTCATGTCTCTACGACATACGGGACATGAGATATGCCCATTCAAAGTTTGCAGTTTCAATCAGCTGCTATCGCGCCCCCATTTGGCCAATTGATGTAATATTGCTTCATTCACATCCTCCCATGACCCTGAGTTTTCGTCATTATATAGTAAGAATATAGTAAGATAAAAAAAAAAAAAAAAAGGCTTCTTCTTGATTGTTATGGACACTCCTCCTATTTGTGAAGGGTATACCATTATGTACCATACAACTTTTTATATTGTTTTTTGAGTTGTGTGCACTGCTATTTTTTATCAGGTTGTTCCAATAATGAACCCATCCCCTCCAATCCCCCTCCTCCATGGTTGAGGAATTATGATAACAATGACGATAATAACAGCAACACGTACCAGCTAATAAGAGCAATAATGAATGAGATACATAGTGTAAAAAAGAAGGGAGGGAAAAGGGATTAATATATTTATAACAAATTAATAAAAAATAATAATCAATAATAAAATAAAATAAAAATAAAGGTATGGGCATTGCATATTTTGCCAGAATTTAAGATTCAACTGCTATATTTAATAATTCTCTCACCTAGGTATTTGTTCTGGGGAAAGGGAGGGCAGGCTCTTTATATAATTGATCAGGGGCTGCCAGTTACTATAAAACTTGTCTGTCGAACCCCTTATGGAAAATTTGATCTTTTCCAACTCCAAAAAAGAACTTGTATCAAGTGGCCATGAAATAGGAGATAGGGGCAACAATTTCCTCCATAATAAAAGTATTCTCTGACGGGCCATTAAAGAGGTGAATGAGATTACGTTTGCTTGTTTTTTGGACATATCTTTGCCTGCCTCTGGTACACCAAATATCGCTGTGGGGAATGTTCTATTACTTGCTCTAATGTTACTGAAATAATTCTGAATTAAGACTTCCAGGACTGCCCCAGACTCAAACATGACCAAAACATATGAGTGAGATTAAAAAGAGACTTGGAGCAACAATCTTTGCAAGTCTTTTCTGTAATGTACCCCATGAACTATTTTGAACTGTATGAGCTGAAATTTTGAGAAAGATCGTCAGACATCATATTGCAACCTGGTCTCACACTGAAGTCATTGAAAACAACCAACAACCAACACACCCAGGGTACCTTGCACGTCACATGTCACTGTGGAAAGTCCATGACCAAACGTTGGTATGTGACGAGGTCAGAGAGAGAGTGTGTTGGCATTCACGCTGCTCTAAGTCAGTCAAATGGGATTTAAATTGATTCAAAGGAATTAGCTGATCGAATTTTACAAACTTCTGCAGATTACTCCACTTGTGTGGTGAAAACTATGCAAGAGCCAGTTTCCAGGTCTCAGTATTAACATGATGATTTTCTAGAACCAAATAGTCTTGGAACCTGCTGCAGTGTGAAATTGTTCTGTAGTTTAAAGACATGTGAGATACTAATGTAGTTTGCCAAGAAGTGCTTTATAAATAAATAGCACGCAGTGTTGTTCTCTTCTCACCACCAACAACTGCCACCAAACTTCCTCATACAATAAACAACCATGTGTTCTAAAGCCATCACCAGTTTTAAACCCAAGGGCGGAATGATAAACTGCATTGAGAGGTTTAAGAGTAGAGACAGGAGAGTGCATATAAATTATATCAGTCATCAGCTGATAAAAAGGTTGCCTGATCTATTTGCTTTCTAGAATTCTAACATGTCTAACATGCCTTATTTCTATAAAAATGAAATGTTTTGCTTTTTAGAACCGTTCATTAATGGGTTTTTTTTTTAAAACACAGTTCATCATCAGGTCAGAACACAAGGTTTTTATAGACCCTTATAGGGTCGACGTCACAGTGACGTCACTTTTTTTTTATCAGCAGGTAAAGCTACCTCTCCCCCACAGGGCTGTAGGCTACATAGGAGTCTTAAAATGTTTTTTTTTTTTTAAAAGGTGCGACCAGACACTCAGAATGAGTATTTCTGAACGCACCACTCACATTCATCTTCCTCCATTGTCTAAAACAAGATGACAGAACTTGCTAGCTAGTGCTACCTAATGTCTGTGGAGAATTATTTTGCCTCCAGCTAAGCCCCACCCACCAAAAAACCTCATACTGTTTTGTAATAGTAAAAGGGTCTATCGCAAGATACTCTTTGAATTAGTTTCCCATTAAGGCAAGTAATATTCACTTGAGTCACAGAGTTTAACAGTAATTTAAGATCAATTTCAGTTTGATGTACAGCACAGAAATCAAGATGCTAGTTATTAACTGCTTGGGCAACAGAGGGTGCTGTTGCATATAAAATGGCATCATCCGCATACAGATGAATTGCACTGTTTAATAAAAACTGTGAATAAAAGTGGTCCCAGAATAGAACCTTGTGGCATGCCTTTATTAACACCCATAAAACTAGACTGATAGCCATAAGCCACAATCAGTGTTTATTGCAGCTCACAACTCCCACCAACGGCTGAATCTGCTCTGCTGTGAGTGCATTTGCTGGCTAAAGAATCATCTTGGCACAGGCTATTTACTGGAGGTTGCCAGCCTGTTGCTTATGTGGCATTTGAAGATGTTCTCGGCTTTCAATGTCCATTTATCCACCACAAACATTTTTGTCACGTCTCATCCCGTCAACAAAAATGAAACATAGATTTCATCTTAATTTTTATTATCAATACCTATTTTTAGCTCGTCACCATCTTGTTTTTGTCACAGAACAAAGTTCGTTGACAAAAACATTTTGTCATAGTTTTCATCAACAAAATTAACACTGGCAGCAACAACTTGTGCTCTACTGCAAAGATCGTTTGAAAAACAATTACATGTTTGTTTTCTTTTTTAATCAGATCCAATAGATTCAACAGATCCACAGTATTGAAAGCCTTAGATAAATCAATAAAAAGGGTGGCACAGCTCTACTTGTTTTCTGATGCACTTGGAGCATCATTCAAGACTTTCCCATCACAGCACTAGGCCCCGGTTTAAAACCTGATTGATAGGATTTTAAAATGGAGTGTTGTGATAAAAATGTTTTCACCTGATCACTTACTAAATGTTTCATTATTACATATTAGGATGTTGAGTGGGAGTGCGTTCCAGCCAGTGTTTTTTGATTTGTTGCCAGATTTTCAAAGTGTACATTTTGAGACATTGTGAAGAGCTGCAGACTCTCTAACATGTTCATAACCTGCAAAGACCGTTTGTTAGCTGCAGTTTTCTAAGTCCTGCGCTCAAACTCTGCCTGCCTCCTCTTGTTTCCCCCCCAGGTATCCCACCAGGCCGTGCTGAGCGTGGATGAAAAGGGAACAGAGGCAGCAGCCGCCACCACCATTGAGGTCATGCCCATGAGCATGCCCGAAACCATGATACTCGACAGGCCCTTCATGGTCTTTATCCTGGAGCACTCGACCAGGAGCGTCCTCTTCATGGGAAAGATCAATAACCCCACAGCCGTGTAAAGACGCAGGGGGAATAATGAGGGGTGCATTTTCACACTGTAGTCGGTTTAAGCAGCTGCGGGACAAGAGCTCATTTTTACCTCAGCATCTGTGAGCCCTGTTGACATGTCACAGCGATATTAAGAACATTGGGGAATGATGAATGGGGGATAGTTTGACAGATAAGACAACAGATCCATCATCAGAAATGTCAGTCTATTAATCTGCTTGCAGTCTGTCAGCGTGAGGCATTTATTACCATCTGTCATCTGAGCCTGGCTAGGTGTATAAATACCTACATGCATCATTATATATTGTGTCCAGCTGACTATATGATACAAATAATAAAAACATTAGTAGATATATCACTCGGACCATCTGCTCACACACACTGAGCTAATGTGCTATTGCTGTTTCAACATGTTGAAGTGAAATATTTTAATCTTGAGTTCATGGATCCAATCGATTTAACTGTATGATTTTCACAACACCAATAAATGCTGAATTACTGAGAAAAGGCACCAATGTTTGTCATTCTTTAAATGATTTGAAATGAGTTCTCCCTCAAAGGCCGCTGATTCTGCAACACCCTCTTTTCTAGACGCCCTCTGCGCCAGCAGTTCTTTACCCGTGTTGTGTTCACTGACTTGTGTTGCATCAATAAACGCAACCCTGCCAAATATCTCTTGGCACAGGACAGAAGACGAGGGTTGTTAATTTTTAATAGAACTGTCGGATAACTCTTGGATCAATAGCTTTTTTTTAATGGTGAAGTTTCTGCCAAAGCTGCAGCAAAGACAACACAGACGGCAAGTGGCTCCTTATTGAAATACACTGAATATTTTATACATGTTTTGAGAACTTATATGTAAATCTCAGGTATTTGCGCTGACGCATCAACATTTCCTTCATCTTTGGAGTCCACTGTCATTGGGCGACTCCTCTTTCTCTTGATATACACACAAGGCAGACAGCACCACAGTTCTGGTGCATATGATACCAACAAGAATCACTACAGCTTTTAGTTATGATAATTGACCTATGGCTGAGTCCCTCCCTCAAACGCGATGAGCCAATCACAGTGCGTATAGCCATTCCCATACACTCGGACATTCTCTGCCTGGACGTCCATTGAAATGCATTACAGAAAGTCAGTTTTGTTCGGTTTTATGAGCTTTTTCTGAGATTTGAAGTTTAAAAATGGTCAAACGGTGTGCATGGGGTACATGCAACTCTGACACAAGGTATCCTGAGAGGCTGGGCGACCAGGTGTATTTTTTACACTTTAAAGGGGCAATAAGCGGAAATTCATCATTTCTAGATTGAAGGAATTAAAAAATCGCTATGTGAAGAACTAGAGGTGTAATTTCATCTGGAGTACAGCATGACGTCACACACCCTCTCTCTGTGTTGATCTCCAGCCCCTTGTTTACAAGCCGGTACAGCTGCACGTTCATGTACATTCATGTGAATCGCCGCCTCCTACCTCCTCTCAGAGCCCTTGGCCCTCCCTCTCTGTAAAAGGCTACAGCCAGTGAGCAATGGCAGCGTGTATTTTTGAAGCGAAATGGTGGAGAGCGGAAAGAAACATTCACCTGAAGACGACCAGGATCCGACATTACCTCTAAAGAAACAACGGTCGTTGGCGAAGAAGTTGTCGGATATAGAAAGGGACAGAACCCAGATTAACATTGGCCTTGCATTTCCAAGGTGGAGAGCACTGCGAGAGCTAAAGGGGCTACAATCTGACTCGGAGCTAGCTCTTCCTCTCTTGGACAGGTAACGTTAAGTAACAACATAAAGTCAAATGTCTGTTTTAATTAGTGTTACAGTAACGTTAGGCACATGTTGCTATGTCGATTCAATTAAATTTAATGTTACAATCGTAACATGGGTTAATGTCTGGAGCTTGAGTTATTAGCGGCTCGGTCCCAGCAATGGGTCAGGTGTTTCGGTTGTGTTAGGTGAGTAGCCCGGCAGCCCAGCTAACATTTGCAATTAGCATTGTAAAATGTAGCCAGGCTAAAACATCGCTCTCACTCACGGAGAAGAGTAGGAATGTTAGCGTTAGCTCCCGATGTTAGCACTAGCCGGGATCCGGCGATGGCTCGAGCTGAGTCAGCTGCCACCGGCTACTGGAGTAACTTACAGCTATGGAGCGCTTCTACCAGCTCTTCTAGTAACTGAGCCTCACCTCCATCTCAGCAAATATATTACATTTATTACAGGTACCATCATCATTGAAGTAGGCAGGGGAATAGCTAAACACAGCAGAGACCGAGAGTGAGTGAAAGACATCACTAACTGCTAAACTAAGCCAAACTAAGTTGGCTGTTTAGGTTTTATTTCCTCGCCCCTGTAGTGAGTGAATCTGCCTGTAGTGAAACCGGGGCTAACCGGTGCTCATTCTTCAGGCTCCACTTCACTCAGCTGCCTGACAGATCCACTGCTTCTTCACACTTAAACCTGAATAACAAACTGGAGCTAGCTGGGAGCATGACTGGAGGGAAGCACAGCCAGTTAGCCTCTGCTAGTGGGGTCATCCCTATGTTCCCAGGGTTCTATGTTTCCCGGGTTCTATGTTCCCCACTTAACCCTGCAAAAAAGCTTCTATATTCCCCGCTTACACAAAAAGGGTTCTATGTTTCCCGCTTGGTTGAGCGGCCAAAATAGAACCCGGGAAACATAGAACCTTTTTTGTGTAAACGGGGAACATAGAACCTTTTTTGCAAGGTTAAGTGGGGAACATATTTATTTATTTTATTTATTTATTTGTTTATTTAACAGGGACAGTGCACAGCTCTAAGCCATACCAGAGTTAGCTACTAGCTAATTTTCATCTGTAGTCCCTGAGCAGGAACAGAAAACATATAGTGTTAAGACAGAAATCTAACACTATAGTATAAAACAAACAAGCACACATGAATACAAACAAATATAAAAACATTGTCACAGAGCGACATCTTCAGACAACAACAATAACAAAATTTCACACTATTAAGACACAACAGCAACAATAAAATCACAATGTTAAGACACGACAATAACAACAAGATTACGAACCAGTGAATTATGAGCCTGTGTTTGACAGTTTATGATTGATGGGTGCATGATTGGGTTGATTTTAGCCATGATCTTATCTTGGATTTAAAGCCAGTAAAGGTGCTACTCTCTCTGATCTCGCTTGGTACTGAGTTCCAGTAATTAGTGGCTCTGACAGAAAAGACTGATCTGCCAAACTCAGTATATCTGTGCTGTACTGCACAGTCACCTCTGCTGGTCGTCCTAGTTGTCCTCCTGTTGTCTGGACGTTGTGGCGACCGGCACCTTTAAGGACACACCTCTCCTGCATCACGCACGCACACCAATGGGATGAATGGCTGCTTAAAACAAGATGGCGCGAACTCACCGGGTGATGCAACAAGGAAGAGGCTCAGACCGTCCCAGTGTCCGCATTCCAGTCTATCAATCCCTGGCAGCATGTAAAGTCCGCCATTTCTTTAGTCCGCCTGCTTACACCATCCGGATTCACCCTTTCATCCCGCCGTTCCACCCATAAACTGCCGTTTCAACGCCCTGGACGACAATTCCCGGGAGCCTGCTGCCGTCTTCTCTGCATCGGAGTGCTGTTTGAAGGGGAGGTAAAGCTGGTTTGGCTTTCATGGGCAAAGATGCCCTGACAAGTAGGAGGTCTCACTCGTGACACTTTTGGAGAGACTCGTTTTGAATAAACATTGACTGATTGGGGAAGGGGTAAGAAGACTGAGAGAGTGACTCTGGGGTTTGAACTGTGCGGGTTGATATTATTGTTTGCATTGTTGTTGGTTGTTGTTTGCACTTGGGCTTTTGTATAATACACTGCGGGGAAGCTGAATGGTGTTGTGTGTTTTGTGGCTTGCTGCTCATTTTTCTGGTGTACAATTGTTTGATGAGGGAGTTGGAGGCTCTGCCAACTCCTTTGTAGGGTTGCTGGTGTTCAATTAGAGATCCTATGTTTTTTGTCAGAATGACCCTCTGACTGGCACCCCGGTATTAGACCAGCAACCGCTACAATGTGGGGGAATTGTTTTAGAGAGCGGTCCGGAAAACGGAAGTCGCCATCTTGTTTACTGCAGTGAGGACACGCTACGTTTCCCGATGTTTATGGACTGTTTTGGAAGGTAAGTATGTTATAAGGTGTGACTGTGACATGAAATACCAAGTGATACACGTTCAAAAGTAATGTATGTCTACAGACTGTAAAATGTTGTATGCTAATGTAATGCTAAGGTAAACACATTTTCAGGTAAGTGCATTTAATTAGGTAAAGGTAAGTATATTTTAAACATACATTAACTATTGTTTCACTCAACCCAGGTAAGTAATGTGTAAAATTAGGCCTTGAATAAACAGAAACCTAGTTCAACTTTTAGAACTATTTACTTTTAAATTAACCCATTTTACCTTATGTTTTAATCTAAATTTTATACAGATTTATATTTCATACAGACTTTAGATATGACATGTATTTCTATCACAATTTTAAACTAAACACTCATTTTTTAACTTAAATGAAATCAAGTATTTTAAACTGATTTTACTTTAGATTTTAACATAACCATTTTTGAAAAGAAATACTCTTACTTTTACATATAAATTAAATATTTTTACTTTGAATCTTAATAAAGCAAAATTCGCTATATTTTAAATAATACTAGCCTATTTGTACACTTCAGTTTATCTATTTGTAAACAAGGTTTTAAGCAAACTAATTGGGCTAC